TTCCAATTTAAGTCCAATTAAATTGAGGTCGTTTTGGGTGAGTTTAGGATCATTATATAAGTCATTTTAAAGTAAAATTCACCTAAATTAAGTCATATTTTCACAACACCCAAATAATTTCCAAAGTTCATCTCCTCTTCAAAAATTCTCTCTCTAGAACTCCAAGGAAGAAAAAGGTGGAAGTTGGTGATAGGGTTAGAGAAAGAAGTTCTTCTCATAAAATTCATTGGGCTTCATTGTTAAGGTATGGTAGTCCTTCATCCATGGATAGCTTTCATCCATGGAGTCCCTTCAAAACTCAATTTCAAAGTTATAAATCCCCAAAAGTTAGGGTTTGATTCCAATGTCATAGGTTCCTTTCAAAAACAATTCTAATGATTGAATTACTTTATATTATGATTGAATTGATTATTAATTATGGTTTTTATGTTGAAATCCTCAAGAACCCATGAAATCCCCTTATTTCCCCATTATGATCTTCTGATGTGGGTTGGTTGATTTTAGAAGAATATTATCAGATTAGGCAAGTAGTGATTGGATTACTTGAGTTATGATTATATCCATGTCTAATGTAAAAATTCTAGATGTGTTAATGGAATATGATTTATGGTCCTTGAAGGGTAAAGTATGATAATTTATACAATGATTATGAGATCTATGTATATGCTTTAAGAACACTTTGAGAGTAAAGTGATTATGATTACAATCTATTTGTTATGTTGTTGAAAGGTTATCCTCATATACATACCTATTTATGAATCTGATATGATGTGAAAGGTTATCTCACAATATGATGATTCTAAGGTTGAAAGGCTATTCTCACCTATTGAATCTAGGAGCTATTTTATGAATTATGTTGGATTGAGTGTCAAGACATTCTTCTATGAGTATGAATTTAAGCCAATACTTAATATTAATTCTGTGGGAATTTATGCTTAGCACTGAAAGGATAGTGATATGAGATGGAAGCCCTCACGATAGTACAGGCCGGGTTTCTAGGAGCAATCTCTTAGGATGGAAGACCTCACAATAGTAGAGGTCGGGTTTTTAGTAGCAATCCCTTTATCCAATAGATTATGAGCCCTCATAGGTATTTACCTAGTGGATCCACCTAAGTTAAGAATATGGCTCTACCTTAGGCAAGTAGGACAACCCCTTTTCATTGTGGGGTAGACACCAGATTCCATGTTAAGCTCACATGGTCTATGTCGGTTAAATCTTATCCCACTATGATAGTATGAACAACAATATGAATTATGAACTATAGCTACCCAAGAAGCTTTACTTAGTATGGGTGGCACTATATGATCTTATTCATGCATTGCACAAATAGGCTTTGAGGTTACGTATGGTATGGTTTTCTTATGCTATGATGATCTACGTAATGAATATGGTTATGACTTATGCTTTTCCCTTATCTTCAAAATGACGATTTATCCTAGCTTGTTGGTGAGTCCTCATGATTCAAGGACGGATGTTTTTCACTTAGTAGTTTGTTTCCTTGTACTTCCTTTTCGAACTACGTTGAATGGGCTATGGTCCTTTTTATTTAGACTATTGTAATAGATGGCTAAATTGAGACAAGTTCAGACTTCCGCTTTCCTTTATGAAAAATTTGGACTTGAAATGTGTTTTAACTCTTTATTGTTCTATGCTTATGTTATGATATGCTAAGTGGCTTACATGGTGCCTTCCAGGGTTCTATGTGCCTTGTTACATCTAGGGGGGACACTTTTTCCGCTGATCGTTCACCTTGAACCTCGTTCCTTCTTTATTCTCGAGTTGAACCGCTCCATGTGGAAATACTTGAGTCACCTTGAATGGCCTGGTCCACTTGGACTTGAGCTTGTCAAGAAACAAGCACAACCTTGAGTTTAATAATAGTAGCAAATCACTAGGCACAAATTCGCGTTTGGCGATCTTTTGATCCTAGTAATTCTCCATCTTCTCTTTGTACAAGGCTGAACTTTCATATGCTTTTAGGCGAAAATCATTTATCTCATTCATCTCATTCAATCTTTGACTAAATGTGGTGCCCCAATCCATATTTAGCTTCATTAGATCCCACATCGCTTTGCGTTCTAACTCTACAGGCAAATGACAAGACTTCCCATATACAAGTTTGTAGGGAGGCATACTAATGAGAGTTTTGAATGCAGTGTGATAAGACGATACAGCATCATAAAGCCTTCTTGACCAATCGGTTAGTTGGCATTCACAATCTTTGCAAGAATTTGTTATATCTCTCTATTCGACTCTTCAACTTGTCCTCCAGACTGTGGATGATAAGGAAGTTCTACACTGTGACGAACACCACAACTTATTGAAAATGTGAGAACCTCCATCGCTGATTATTGCCCTTGGTTTACCAAATCTGGAGAAGATATTATTTTTTTCAAAAATGTGGTGACACTCTTTCCTTCATTGTTTGAAAATGCAATTGCTTCCACCCATTTAGATAAATAGTCAACTGCTACAAGAATATACTTCATCCCGTTTGAACTCACAAACGGTCGCATGAAATCAAGACCCCAAACATCAAACAACTGAATTACGAATATCGGGTTCATTGGTAGTTCTTGCTTCCTTGAAATTCCTCCTTTTCTTTGACAACAATCACAATATTTGGCAAATTCATGCGCATCTTGGTGGATAGTGGGCCAGTAGTACCCACACTGCAAGATTTTATAAGCAATCTGAATACCACTATGGTGCCCACCCATAGGGAATGAATGACATGCCTCTAGTATACACATCATCTCAACCTCATGCACAACGACGAATAATCCCATCAGCATAGATACGGAATAAGGAAGGCTCTTCCCAAAAGAATTTCTTCACATCAAACATGAATTTTCTCCTTTGGTGGAATGACAGATCCGAAGGAACCAACTAACTTTCCATATAATTAGCTAAGTCAGCGAACCAAGGAATAAGGTCAAACTAAGCAACCAATACATGTTCATCAGGGAATGCATCATTAATCTCGACTCCGTCTTCTAACTTGATCATAGCTTCATCTTCTAATTTGGACAAGTTATCGGCAACTTGATTTTCTGTTCCCTTTTGATCTTTAACCTCAAAGTCAAACTCTTGCAACAATAATACACATCTAATCAGTCTTAGTTTTGCATCATTCTTAGCGATAAGACACCTCAATGCGGAATGATCAGTATGCACAATAACTTAAGTGCCAAGCAAATAGGATCTAAACTTCTCAAATGCGTAAATCACGACAAGAAATTCTTTTTCAGTAACAGTGTAGTTTTTTTTAGCAACAAGTTTTTTTTAGCAACACTCAAAGCTTTGCTCGCATAGTAAATAGGATGAAGAATTTTCTCTCACCTCTGTCGTAATACTACACCAAGTGCCACCCCACTCACATCACACATAACTTCAAACGGTTGTCCTCAATCCAGTGAGATAATTATTGGTGTGGAAATCATCTTCTCTATCAACTCCCCCAAATGCTCTCAGACAAGCATCATCAAACTCAATCTTAGACTCTTTTTCGAGTAGTTTGCACAATAGGTGTTCAATTTTTGAGAAATCCATTATGAACCTCCTGTAGAAACCTACATGTCCTAGAAAACTCCTTACACCCTTTAAAGAGATTGGGGGTGGCAGTTTTTCTATTACCTCAACTTTAGCTCAATCAACTTCAATTCCTTTCTGCGAAATTTGATGGCCCAAAACTATACCCTCTTTCACCATGGAGTGAAATTTTTCCCAATTGAGCACAAGATTGCACTCTTCACACCGTTTCAGCACCTCAGCCAAATGAGTTAAACAATAATCAAATGAATCACCAACTACAAAGAAGTCATCCATAAATACCTCCATCATGTCCTCCACCATATCAGAAAATATAAACATCACGCAACGCTGGAAGGTTGCCAGAGCGTTACATAAACCAAACGGCATTCTCTTGAACACAAAAGTCCCATAAGGGCAGGTTAAAGTGGTTTTCTCTATGTCCTCCGGGGCTACAAAAAGATGATTGTACCTCTAATAGCCATCTAGAAAACAATATCAACCCTTTCCAGCGAGATGACCTAGCATTTGATCCATGAATGGCACTGGGAAGTGGTTTTTCTTAGTCCATACTTTCAACTTCTGATAATCCATACACACTCTCTAACCAGTCACCGGCCTCATTGGAACGAGCTCATTCTTTGCCTTGGGAACCACAATGATTCCTCTCTTCTTTAGCACACATTGAACTAGGAAAACCCAACTACTATCAGCAATAGGATATACCACTCCAGCATCTAACCATTTGATGATTTCCTTCTTCAAAACCTCTTGCATCGGGGAATTCATTCTTCGTTGGTGCTCAATACTAGGCTTGTTGTCCAGCATAAGTTGAATTTTATGATTACAAATTCCTAGTGGAATACCAATAATATCCGCAATAGTCCATCATATGGGCCTTTTGAATCGCTTCAATACCGATATCAAACCCTGTATTTGCCCTTCACTTAAGTCAACAACAACTATCACCGGAAAAGTACTATTCTGGCCCAAAAATACATACCTAAAGTGAGAAGAAAGAGCCTTAAGCTCCAACTTCAGAGTGTCTCAATTCTTCATGTCTAAGTCCAACTTCCTTGGTTTGTGATGAAACTTTACTCCAGTAAGTGCGACAACTATTTCATCATACTTATCAATACCATCTCCATCCAAGTTCATTATAACAGCTGCTAGTGCCTCAATACCTAACCTTTCTTCAATAGGTATTTCTCGTTCTTGCTCCTCAATCTGATTTACTACTGATGCTGACTTAAAATCACTTCCATGCTTCATAGAGCGATAGATGTTAAAAGTTACCTCTTCATTGTTCAATCGTAACTTCATCTGCACTTTTTCCATATCAACCAAAGCACGCCCAGTCGCAGGGATTGGTCTTTATAAGATGATGGGAACCTCGAAATCGACCTCAAAATCAATTATCACAAAGTCTGCCCTAAAGAGAATGTCTCAACTTTCACAAGGACATCTTAGAGAACTCCAATCGGTCTCTTCACAATTCTATCGGCAATCAACAATCGCATTGTAGTCGGCTTGGGAGTCCTTAGCCCCAACTTCTTATAAATTGACAACGGCATCAAGTTAATGCTAGCACTCAAGTCACACAGTGCCTTCGCAAAGTGCAGTATACCGATAGTAAATTGGATGGTTAAAGCTCCAGGATCCTCTTTCTTTAGCACCAGTGACCTAGTAGCAATGGTACTACAATGCTGCAACTTGTCTTCAATTTTAAAACCGACTACCCTCTTTTCAGTCACCAGATTCTTCATAAACTTCACATACCCTCTGTTCAAATGCCTCTATCAACGGAACATTTATGGACAAGTGCTTCAACATAGCTATGCACCTGCGGTATTTACCCTCTTCAGTCTTTTTCACCAACCTTTATGAGAAGGGAGGTGGACGTCTTGTCATAGGGATCACTTTTTGCGTCACCTCGGATTCCTTTTTAGTATCATCTTTCGGCTCCTCAACTAACTCAACTTCATTCTCAACTTTTTCTGCATTTTCCATTTCAGTCTGCATGGGAGGGTCTATAGTTTGCTTTCCTTCTCGAGTGGTGACTGTCATGTAATGACCATTTTTTTTCCAGATTCTGGACAGTGTTGCTAGGAAGTGTTCCTGGCTGACTTGGATTTATTATTGTGGACAACTGACCCAAATGCTGCTTAAGTTGCTTAATCATCACTACATGGGCGTCAACCTTTTGAACGATACTAGATAAATCACTATGCATCTCCTTCACATTGTCAACAATCGCATCAAATATTTTCATCATCTTCTATATCATATCTTCAATGCGAGTCATACTCGATTCGACATCTCTATTACCAGGTGGAACATAGGGTCCACTCTTCTCATTCCTATTTCCATAACTATTTCGGTTGTAGTTGTTGTCACGATTGAAGTTCCCATCACGGTTGTAGTTATCATTGTTCTGGCCTTGGTTTCCTTGACCTTGGCACCAATTTTTTGAATTGGATACTTAGGCATTAGTCCGGAATCCCCCACCCCCCCCCCCCCCCCGTCTAATCCTTCACCAAATTCGCACCCTCCCCATAATAATACTCATCGATAGGTGGAGCTCTAGGTTGATAATTCACAACATTCACTTTTTCTGCCCTAGGGCTCACATGTTTCAATACCAAGACAACTTCTGTTCTTAATTAGGCCATCTCTTCACGAATATCATCATTGTATTGACTTGGTGCAGTTTGGACTATGAATATAATCCTGACAGTATTTGCTTTTCTAGTGCTCCATGCCTTGCTATTCTTGGAGATCTTCTTAAGTTTTTTGAGCAAATTCTCCAAATGTGCACGCTCCATAAGACCCTCCAGCAATAGTATCTATCACAGCCAACCTATTGTCATCTTACCCTCTGTAGAAATACTCTTTCAGTGACTCATCATCTATGCGGTGGTTGAGCACACTCCTCATGAATCTAGTGAATTTGTTCCACGAGCTACTCACTGACTCTCCAGGCAATGCTACAAAGTTATTTAGTTTATCCTTAAGATTTATCTTCTTGGACACCGGAAAGTGTCTCTCCATGAATACCTTATGCAGCTGGTCCCAATTGTGTTTTGAATTCTATGGCAACTAAGAAAGCCACACAGTCGCATCACCAGTCAACGAGAGTGGGAATATTCTCAAACCTATTACATCCATATCCAAGTTTGGTAGTCCCACACTACTCATACATACACTCTTAGCTTTAGTCATATGGGCATATGGATCCTCCGAAAGTAACCCAACAAATAACCCTCTCTATATAAGCATTTGCATCAGACTGTTGGTCACCATAAAAGAATGTCCTAGAGGTAGTGGGGGAGAACAATGGCACCAGTTGACTCCACCGAATCATATTCAACCCTGTAATTATCACGACCTCTCGCTGCCTGCTGGTTATGCCCTCTTTTCGGATTTACAATATGGCTAAGAGCATTCACCACTCCGAGAAATTGCACACCAACTCTATCCCCTTGGCCCTCTCCAATTGGATCATTGTGTACTTCGAGATTTAAGCCTCTTCCATCCATTTTTCTCAAAGTTCTTTGTAGTTCTGGATCGTTGGGAGACAGGGGATTGCTTTGACTCTGTGTACTTGTCATACACTAGAGTATAGACCTGTAGAAAAAAAAACAAGAAATTGTAAAATTCAGGAAATAATTTACTAAAGTTCAATAGCGAAATTAGTCAAATAAAAAAGTTGTATTCCCCAGCAGCGGCGCCAAAATTTGATACTCCAAAATTACACCTCTCAAAAGAAGTATAAGAGGTCATTGTCAAATAAAGAACCTAAGTTTGAGGTTGGGGTCGATCCCACAAGGAATATGGTTTAGACTTAGGCTAACTTACGAGTATCTATGTTTAGTCAGATTATTTCCGAGAAAGGTAACAAAAGGGGGGATTTGTAAACAATATAACACTTTGTTGATTTGTGTCAATCAGTAACTAGTGAACATGATTTGCAGTTTGACATATCAATATGAGATGAAAGTTAGAGCATAAGTGTTCCCCACGAGCTCTTAACGCAGTATTCCTAATAACGGTAACTTTATCCTAGTGTTGACATGCAAGGTTGATAAGTTAGGTGTCCCTAAGTGATTGGTCCTCCATATAGAGAATTTCACCACACAACTAGGTCCCTCTACGGGTGTATGCTTTACTAGCCCTTACCCTTAACCCCGGATTAGCCTTCGCAATATTAGGGTTGGACTATTAGATAGTAGCTAAACACGTCTAAATCTCCGTTGCTTAATCCTTTTCTCATACATTACTTCCTTGGTCTGGCAAGTAGGAACGAGGCGAGTTCTAACGTTCGCCACCATTAAAAAGCATTTAAAACAAAAAGAATAACAATACATACATCAGTACTATTCTAGAATTACATATTTATTAGTCATACAGTGTCATGGTTCTGACTACCCTAGTTGTGGATTTATCTACTCATGCTTGAGAGTTCACAATTCATGTTAGGGTTCACAACAAAAATCATAAACTTACAATTAGAATAGTTGAGTACCAAAATCTTCATTTAAAAATCAAACAGAAATATCAAAAACCAAGCTTAAAGAATTAATTGCCAAAGATGTTTGCAAAATAATCCTCAAAGTCAAAACAAAAGATCCCAAAGTGTCTAACCACCAAAAAGGAAATATACCACTTATATTTATAGAAAAGAAATCCTAAACCAAGTAGGAAAAGAAAAAATAGGAATGTGTGGTTTGGACGCGGTTTCGATCGACGACAGCCACCTACAGACTGTGGATCAGCTAACGGTTTGTGGTTCTCCTCCGTGGTTCAGCAGTTGGCCAAAAAATCATGGTCTTCAATCGACGGTCATCACCTACGAACCATAGGTCCATTCACAGTCTGTCCCATTCCTTCGTGGTTCAAGTATTGAACTCAACTTTCTGAATCAAACGACGGTCCGTCACTCAATCTACGGGGCGTCATTTGCCTCTGTAGTTCCATAGTTAGTCAGACTTCCTTTAACACACACCTACGCCACTCAATCTATGGCTCGTCGACTGGATGATGACCCGTGGTTGGACTCTGCCAAATGCCATTTTTGCTACTTCAGCTCTTTTCTCACTCAACCGCTCCAAACCTATTTCCTCCAAAAATCACATCAAAATACCATCATATCTAATAACAAAATGCCCAAGACTCACACAAACTACAAGTTTAATGCATCAAAAATACCGTAAACTCAAGGTATATCACACATCGGCCAACCGAGGCTAGGCGACATGAGTCGTGGCTTGCACGCATCAACCAGGCGACATCGGTTATGGCCTGCGTGCATTGGCCAGCCACAAAGGTCGTGCATGCGCGCATCGGCCAATTGAGGCTAGATGACATCGATCGTGGCCTGCAAGCATCAGTCATGGCCAGGAAACATCAGGTGTCCTATGCGCATTGGCCAACCAACATCGACTAAGGCCAGGCAATGTGATTTGATGCCCCTGCATATTGGTCAGCCAACGTTTGACGTGGCCTGCACGCATTGGTCAGTCGATGTCGGACGTGTCTTGCCTGCATCATATGTGGCTTGCATACAATGCATATAAGCAAGGAAGAATATCGACTTCAAGCTAAAACATACTTTTTAAAAAAAGATATGTTCATAATAGCTATTTGCAAATCAAATACAAATTCACATCATCATGAAGAATTCAATGAAGCTAAATCAAAATCTCAAAAATCTATTTTTTTTATGAGTATGCACGTATGAGGAAACATTGGAATTACTAAAACACAAGAATCCTAAAGAATGAACATGAGGGGCTAATGCCTCAAGATAGATTCAAAGATAACAAAAATAGATAGGGATGCTAAGATATCGAACCATCTCTGGCCTTTCACTTATCAATCAAAAGCAAAGAACCCTTCCAATAATTTAGATAGTTCCACACCCTCTCAACATGAAGCACACTATCTCACCCTTGGGAGAAAATCTCTCTAGTCTTTTTAAATCCATCTCCCTCAACCCAAGCATAGCACCAAAGTCTTAACAACCACGAAACCATTGTTACATACAAGCAATGCTTAAGGAATTTCCACCAAGAATTCAAGGTCAACTTCAAACACAATTACCACACATGGAGTTTTACCATAGACAATGAAACACCCAATACAAAGTAATGCATAACTACAAGCGAAAAGATAAAAACTTACCAATTTTCCCCTTTTCATTCTAAGATAGGTTCATTTCAAACTTGAAATATGACCAATCGAGTCCTACAATATATGGAAGCATGACAAGAGTGAAGTCAATCTATCCCAAGAATGATATCAAAGTCTAACATATTAATCTCTACAAGATCAACAAAAGTGACTATATGAGGAAAAGAAACATGGCAATTTCTGTAGACTCATTTAGCAATGATAGAGTCACCAATAAGTGTAGAGATTGAAAAAGGTTCTAAAAGAATTTTAGGACAGACATCAAATTTCATTGGCACATAAAGAGTCATAAAAGAAAATGTAGCACCCAGATCAAGCAAAACATACACCTCAAGATGAAATACTTTCAACATAGCGGTCACAATATCCAAAGAACTCTCATGATCATGTCGAGTCTTAATAGCATAAATCATGTTCTGGCAGGGGGCACCACCCGAACCATAACCATTAGGCTGAGCTTTCTTACCATCCCTTCCCATGCTTAGTTGCAAAGAAAAATCCCTCACCTTGTGATACCCTCTTCCCACAACCATTGCAAATATCCATACTTGTTAAGCATCTTCCCGAGTGACTTTTTCAATACTTTTGGCAAGAAAAAACTGAAGATCAACATGAACCACCTCCTTGAGGCTTAGGGTTAGACACCCTATCTCTTTTGAACTTTGGAGTCGGAACATTAGAACCATTTTGATCAAAGAACTTTAGTCGTGCATACTCTTTCACACTCATGTTCCCTTGTTGAAGATTGATGAACTCAAGCACTTTTTCTTCCCTCGTCTCAAGAGGAAAGAATCAGTCAAGGAAAGCCCCTTTGAATTTCTCCATATCAAAAGGACCTGTATCAATTTCGCTCTCTTCTTTCTATTGATTGAACCATACTTGAGCAATACACTTAAGTTTAAAAAAGGCTAAGTGAGCCTATTCCACAAACGTCACACCCATAATCTCTACGATCTTGTGGATTTCCTCGATAAACTCTTGGGGATCTTCCTCAAGTTTTGACCCATAGAACTTTGGGGAATTCATCCTAGTGAAGTCCATCACCCTTATTGTCTTCATGCCCACAATTGGGTTCATGGGAGC